CGATATAAGGGCTAAAATTAAAAATAAAATTATAAAAACTTACTTGGTGAAATAAAATGTGTGGTGGATATACATACCTGGTACAAAACATTCTTCAATTGTATGAATATACTTTTAAAGAAAATTATAATTAAATATAGCTTTGTAACGAAACGTACATAAAAATAGCATAAAATATTCTTTACTCTTTCTCACCCATAGGGAGTTAAATAGCTCCCTATGAGTGGAATCAGGGACAATCTTGGTAAGTGTGCAGTGCGTGCATACATGCCAAATCTTGAGGGTGCCGATACCAGTTAATATCAAATGCCTCTTTTGTCGCATCACTAATATATCTCAAAGGACACAACAGGGTTGTTGTAAATTTTAAACGTTTCTCACCATAGCTGTAAAAATCTAATAGATTGTCCGTCATTTGTTTTCTAATTTGTTTTAGGACCAGGTGTTGTCCACGGAAATTTCCAAAATTTACAACTTTTCGGTCACTCTCGTTCAACTGGAAAAATTTCTCTCGTTACTACATCTAATATTTCGAAGAAATCAGTCCCCACTGTACTCGACTATAGATTAGTTCGGTTAAGCTTTGGTTTAAGTAAAATTTTGGCTCTTACATCAGGGTTTTGTTTATGTCCCCAATTCCCTAATCGCTTAATTATTTAACTACTTCTTAAGTAGAAATAAGTCGAGACCAGTTACTTTGTACTCGAATATTTGTAGTCTCGGGAAAAAAGTGGAGACAGAAATTTTTATGACAAACGGATACATAAATCGTAAATTTAAGGAAAATAAATTCTAAAGCTTTTTCTGTACCTGGTGCATCTCTCTCATTCATTAAATTTAGTTGTTAATGATGCTGTCAAAGTAACAGTTAATTTTTTAACATTATACAAGAATTGTACACGTTTTTTTCTACATCCCCTTAAATATGGGAGATACAAAATCGTAATATCACTGATTTAACATTGAAATCCATGAGTAATATAAAATTGGAGAGCAGAATAAATATATCAAATATTTTAATGGATTTTTTTAAACTCCTGTCAACTATACAGAAAACTATCATAAAAACATACAGGTAAATTCTTATCGGTTGGGTTAAGTTATAAATCTACTCGTGATTCACATAATCGGGCAAAGGCGGCCAAATATCTAGCAGGTGGGCGGCTAAAAGTCTGGAACTGGTCCCGGATAGAATTGGAAGCGTTATACGTGTAGCAGCCACCCCAGGTTCTAGGTTTCCACCAACTAAACCGGGTGAGGTTGGTGCTCTGAATCTGGCTTTTTGGATGCTGACAATACAGCGTTTCCACTCCACTACTAATATTCAAATATACAATAGCGATCTTATTTTTTTTTTTTTTTCACGTGTAGTATAGAAATTTGTAATAAGATACATAATGCGTTATAATAAAATATTGTGCGATTATTTTCATATAATTAAAATTAATATGTATTTATTTTTTAGAAAACACAAGGGAAGCGGCGCATCCACCGCTTCTAATGACGGCCCGCCACTGTTGCATTGACATTCAGGTCTGTTTCAACATTCTTGTAGGATCTTGTCTATGATCTTCTGGTTCAAATTCATCATCTCTTTTCAAATGAGAAGATGAATTTGAAATTGAACAAAATTTCCCTAATTACAGCTTTGGCTAAAACATTCTTTGACTTATAAACTCAAATGTGTCTTCTAGTTCAATATTCAACAATATCTATAATTTTATTTCAATAAAAGATTCAGTGACTCTTCGAATAGAAAGTGCTACCAGACTCTACACAATTTGAAGAGGTGGAATTTTAGTTAAACTTCTTATCTGTCACTCTAAATTATACTACCCTATACAGTGCAGTACTTCAACATGTTTTTTAACACAGGGTTTACTTTTATTCCCTGGACTTTATTTGAAGACCAGAGTTTAATCAAGGAAATATGACATACATATATATTGATATTTTTCTTTTAGATGTTGAAAATATTAAACTTTAAATATCATTTCAGTTAGACATACAGTTAGCTACATCTGCAGAAAACAGAAACAGAAACATTTGAAACAGAACATTTGGAATTTGAATCTATATATTAAGACTAAGATTGAATCTGATTAGAAGTGACCTTTAGGATTATTATGGCAAAGCTTTTAGAAGTTTGATCCTGGTACAGTCAATTTAGAAATTTTAAAATTTTTACAAAGGCTTATAAAAGTCTAAACAAATTCAAATAATGAAAAAAGCCTTTATATCTGATGTAATTAATAAATCCAAATTTTGATCAAGATATTAACTTTAGTTAATTAATATCTTGATCAACAATTTTAACTAGTTTGTACTGAATTGCCTTTTGTTCTCATTGCAATTATTATGAGTAAGCATAAAATTGCTTAAGAATGAATCATACAGAAACACAATCAAGATGAAAATACAGGTTTTTATTGGTTTCTAAGGATATCAATTTTGGATATCATGTTCCTCATTGGTCCTCTTTTAAATTTTACAGCAGTCTTGATGACAGGAATTGCATTATGTTATAGATAATTGTGATAACTGGATTCCAATGTATAATAAAATAAATATATTTTATAAACAGAAGTTATGGTAAAATTCTATTAAAATGATAAAAATTAAAAGTTGATATAGAGAGACTTGCATGTTCTGAAAATTATACAAGGAGGGAATATAATAAAATGTAATTAAAACTGAAATTAAAAGATTGTTATAAGAAACAGGAATAAAACTCATTAAAAAGTTAAAATGAAGTATAACAAACACTGTATGACTAACATCTAAACATTAGATGAATGTAACAGTATCATGAATGTATCAGTATTGTGTTCCTGTATGATGTTCTCTCAGGCAATTTTATGCTTATTCTCAACAATTTCAAGTAGTATTTTAAATAAATTAAATAAACATAGCATTGCTAGCTCACTCATGGGATTTGCCCACTTGTTCAAAAATTTCATGATGATTCATCAAATTCCAGTAATGTCATTTCTATTTTATTTTTGTGATAAAAAACAATGACAACTTTAAGCTAAGCATTTTATATATGTAGAGTAGATTTAATAATACTTTTAATGAAGGTTTAAGAGACAGTTTTCATAAATATTTTAAATTTATATTTATCATATACTTATATTACTATAATTTTATTATGAGATAGAACACTAAAATTCAACATATAACAATATACTTCTTTTGAGCTTAAAAAATTGTTATTCTAGACATTGAATTAAAATAAAATTCTATAGAAAGAGACTAATTTTATATATATATTCATTTTTATGTTTTTATTGTGGAAATTGTGTTTAATATTATGAAAAGAGATGCCTTTTCCTTTGGTCCCCCACAATCACTAATTTGTACAGTAAACAAACAGATGATTGTTTTATTTAAAAAAAAAAACTCATTGTTGTTGTTGTTGTTATAGATTATTGTTCATTTTCAAGAGTCATTTAATCAATTCTTCAAAAGACGTTTTCTTTTTAAATTAAAATATTTGTGTTCTAAGCATTTGAAAATGTACTTCATAGTTTATTCACTTTAAAAATTAACTTTTTTAATATTAAAGTCTTCCTGTGAAATTATATTTTTAATGAATGCTAACAAATGCCAATTTTCTCACAAAATAAATTACTTTAAATAGTATGTTTTTGATTAATAAGGCATTCATTTTCTGAGAAACTAAATATTAAAGTAAGAAATTTAGGCTGAATTAATTAAAACCTATCATGAAATTTATTTTGAAAAAATGGCAATGATTACCACAGACAGCATATAGGGCACCAACCCATCCTAAAATCTCCTCACCTATCCTGAAATAATTTATTTAAGTCTACCTATATTGGCAATTTTTGAGGATTTCTTTAAATATAAATTGATTGCTTGCTAAGTAATTACATGTTCTTCCTAAATGCTGCTTAAAACATTTACTGCTTATATGTCTTACTGAAAATCAATCACTAAATTTTAAAAATTTGTTTGATGATAAAATGTACAGATAACATCCACTCCACTTCCATCCTCCCAGAATGACCGACAATTATATTTTTTATTTGTAAATTAGTAAACAACTTACATCTCCACCCCATGAACATAAACTGTGCTGAGTAATCATTAAAGCTGCTCCACCATTTTGAACACTTTCTAAGAAATCTTCTGACACAACATGAACATTTGCTTTCTCTGCATCTTTTATCTTTTTGCTATTTTTCTTAATTTCTTCTGCAAAATTAAATTGTTCACAAAATAAATGATTATGTTCAAAATCTATCAAACAAAAATTATTAACATATAATAGATACCTTCATTTGTAATAACACAAACAACATTCTCAGTAACTTTACTGACAACTTTTCCACCAAGTTCTTCTACTTTGGCAGTTAATTCTTTGAGCGATTTTTTCAATTTTCCTACAATCACTACTGAAAGATTACCTAAAGGCTTAGACGTGCTATTACTTCTACTACAGAAAAAAACAGAAATTACAAATTTTAATACATTATAGTTACCTTTTGTAAATATTTATTTAACTTCTCAAGCATGGATAAAAATTAGAAAACAAGTATTAACAATGTATAACAAACCTTTCTATGTGAAAAACATCAACAATAATGTTATGATAAGCATGAGAATAATTAAAACACTTAAATGTACTTATTCTTTTTAATTTAAATTTTATTACTAATGTCTTTAAAAAATTTTTTAGTAATAATTTTAAATATTGGATAGTGGAAAATTCATCTTATTTATAATTATTTTTGAACATCAAAAACTATTAACTTGATAAGTTTGTATATGTGCATTTAAAATAAAATATGAAATACATTTTTGAATATATTTAAACTAAGCATTCTATACCAGAACACAAATTCTAAGTCCCAACAGAACTTGAGGTAATAAGCATCTGTATATAAAATTAACAATTTTTAACATCTAACAAACATAAAGTGGTCTTAAACATTATACTTCTCTTTTATTTTTATATTTTAATTAATTAATTTAATATCAACTTCTTTCCATTCAATATTGTTTATTTTTCTAGCATTTATACCATCTCCAATTTTTTTTTTTATTTAACTATTTCACATAATTTAGCAAATCTTGCATTTTCTTCAACAGCTTCATTAAATGAACTTGATTAGCTCCCAAATAATACATAATTCTTTTAAATCTGTACATATAATTTAATTGAATAAAAGAAGAACTGGATAATTCAATCAACTAAGTTTTCAATACTGTTAACATAACATATTTAAAAATGAGATAAAATACAGTAGAATCTGCTTATTGAAACCACAAATACTATTATCAAAATTAGCAGGTCAAAAATGTTTAAAATTAAAATACACTTATAAAATTTTGCTTATTGTAATCAGAGTTTACTTACTGTTATCATTATCTTTGAATAAATAGGCATTTTTAATCTTTCAGTTCACATGTGGCTGATAACATGCAATTGTTATCATTTATCAGTTATCATTATCTAGTGGATTAGCATTAAATGCTATTCATTTTAATCCTTGTCAACTTTCAATACAGTAGTTTAAGTTGTGGGTCTTTCTTACTTCAATTATATGCAAGTTATTAATGGCAGTAGCAGAAAAACAATACTGGATAAATTATACATTAATTATAATTAATAAATTTTTAAATTACAGTTTTTGTTTTAATGTTCCTTTTTATTGTTGAAGTCAATAAAACCAGCATTTCCATAACCATAGTCTAATTTATTAGCATTGCTTAATGTTATTATTAAGTTGTTATTATCAGTATAAGCAAGTCCCAAAGTGATTACAATAAGCAGATTATACTACAGTAGACCTCCTATAACATGGGTTCGTATAATATGTATTCATATATCGCGGTGAAAAAATTGTGACCATATTCGTATAAAGACACTAACAGAGACTCGTAAAATGCAATAAAACGTCATCACTGACTCATGTCGCGACCGGATTGGTCGAATTTGGATCAATAGTGGATGAGCACCCAAACTACTTACATGCTACGGAGAGTTTAGGCGGGTATCGTCTGTACAGTATATAAATTAGGTACTGTAAGTCTAATACAGTACTGTAATTTTATACATTTCTTGTGAAAAAAACATTTCTTATTCAACGGCCATAAAAATTATTTCTATTAATGATGTCTCCAAAGTTCAACGAACTTTTTGCAGAAAATGTGCCTGCCATTTGGTGCACTGCTCCGCGACGAAAACAAGCTTAAGCAATGGAATCATTGGATGGTGCACACTCGGTAAGTAATCCTACAATTTTTTGTTTATAGCATAGTTTATACGGATTATTCCCAAAAAATTATACGTATTTTGGAAATGTTGAGTCAAATTAGTCTAGAATCGATTAATTTTATGAAAGAAAACCTTTCAAACAGCCATAGTCTGTAAACTGCACACGTGTTGGGCTGTGACTGGCTCATGTATTTAAGGATTCCTACAATGCGAAATTCGTATAAAGTGGAACGTATCTACCGCGTTATAGGGGTTCGACTGTATATTAAAAAATAATAATAATCAAAATGCAAATGTAAGACTAATTTCCCAAATACTAAAAATTTAATATTTAAAATAAANACGGTATATGTCAGTCAAAATCAAATTAAACTTAAATTTAAATTTAAGTTTAATTTGATTTTGACTGACAAAATCAAAGGTGGAAGGATGACCCGCTCATACCGCTAGATGGCGGGCGTTTTTTTTTATTTATTTATTTATTTCTTATTATTATTGTAGAGAGTTGGCAACATTCAGAAAAGGAGTTCTTATGCTCAAAAAGAGCGGGAAATAACGGAATGCTCTTCTAACCGAATTAGCTGATTTTTGTTTTGTGTGAATAAAATCGAAAGACAGATTTAGTGGACTTTCCTTGGTGGAGATACGACCGGAAACCTGGCGTACGAACAAGACGGGTCAGGTGAGAATTACGAAAGTTAAATTAATCATTACACGAGAGGCCATCGTTATTCAAGGCCTTCTTGTTTCATGACGTCACGGTACTGGTCATCCATTATCAAAGCGTTGCTGATCATTTATGTTAAATAGAATATTTTTTTATCAAAAGAATTATTTTTAAAATTAATTTATCGATGTAATATTTAAATGTTATAAATGNTTAAAATAAATGGAATATAGATGAAAAATGATTAACCTGACATTTTTAAATACATAATGTATAATGTATAGTCCATGCTTAAGAGTTAAAAGAAAAGTGTTAAAAAAAAAATTACTTTAATGAAGCAGCTGATGTGGATGGTTCGGATAGATCTGATCGGAAAAATCGTTCTGAAACTACGGATCCATCATAATTTCTTCTGAAATATTTTTAAAAAATAGACACAATAAACAATTAAACTTAAAAATAATATATATTGTTTCAATTAAAATATTTTATTATCTGTTTGATAAATATTTCTTGATTGTTAAATTTTAATCATCCAAATGTTTCAGTTACTAATCTAATTAAAACATTTTAAACTAAAATTGACTAATATATAAATTATACATAAATACTAGGGACGCTGTTTCTATCTGTTTTCAGCAGTCCAACTTTGAAGTCAGCAGTGGCTCTAGGATTTGCAAGGCTATAGTCAAAATTTATTTTTAGATTCATTAGAAGAGCAATAGAAACAGAAGGTAGATTTGTTTAGGCCTACAATAATATGAACATTTTTAATATAGAAACAGGTAATAAAAAACACAATGAAATAAATAAAATGTATACAATAGTTTTAAAGTAAACTGGAAAATTCAATAGTTATACAGAAATTCACCTAGAAAGCTGCTCTCTTGTTTTTAGCAGCAATATCTCTTTCAACAAAGAAGATTAAAAGTGCAGAAAATATATCTTGACATATTGTTTATCAGAAAGTTCTTGCTCAATTTTAACTTTAAAAGTGATTGTTCTAAAAATGCAACAAATACCAGTACTTATATTTTTGGGCTGCAATTTGAAAAAATTGTACACCTATAAATTCCCACTATCATCTGTCCGTCTTTCCTTAATCTCAAGGACAGCATTAGATACATGAAAGTCGAGACCAGATATGGAAAGCGTAGGAGTAACAGGCCCCAATTAACTACATATGGACTTCTGATGCAAACCAGAAGTCATATTATTTCAATTCAAAAATTTTTCCCTGAAAGGAGTCGGGTAGATGACCAGCATAACTCTATTGCTAACAGGAAAAGTATTATGTACAGTACAGAGCAAGATAATACTAATTTAAGGTGAAAAGCATATATTTTAAATTAAATAAATATGATTAAAAACTACCACCCAGTATTGTGACTGTCACAATAAATAACTGCTTGTTTTACAATTTGATTTGAATATGAAAATATACCACCATATTTTTAAGGCTCTACATGTTGCCTTTTTTGACTATATGCAGGACCTCTTCTGCTTTCAAGTTACTCTCCACATTTTTGTAATTTAAAAGCATTAATAATGTAAGTATAAGTAATACATAAAACTAAAATTGTTTACAATACAAACTTTGTTTATACTTATTTAATCTCAGAAGATCTCAAAGATAGCAGGCAAACCTACAATAGAAAAACCAAGCAATGGGATAAAAAATTCAAACATTCAAAACAAACAAAAAAAAAAAAAATATAATCTACATAATTTATTGTACAGAATTTCAGAAGTTTGTTTTCCATTTTTATGAATTTTAAATTAAAAAAAAAAAATTCAGAACAATTTGTATAACTTTCCCAGCCAAACTTTAAAATTGTATATAGTGCCATCTGTTGCAAAATTTTATTTTAGAAACCTTTTTATATTATTATTTATTATAAAATGTCAAAAAGTTTAATTTTGATGGTAGAGATGAGTTTTATAAAAAAAATTTCAAATGCTAATAGCAAATAAAATCTTCATTAAATCCAACCAAACTTGAGATATGACAAGTACCCTCCCTCTATCTTCACACCTCTCAATTTTTAACCAAAATTTAATAGCACCAATTCCTGTAACATACAAACCTTTCTGCAAAATTTCAGAAATTTTCAAGAAAAGGCATAAGAGTTATTAAGTTAAAAAGTGGGTGAACAGAATCATGCTCCCCACACATACTAGCATTCATACATTGAAAAAAAAAACCTGAAGTTTTTTTTGCATTTCTTAATGTTTCAAATGTAAAAATCTTGGACGGATCACTTTTTTTTAACTGAGTGTCATACTTTCCATGTGTTATATATAGAACAGTCAAGAAAGTAAGAAGAAAGCAATGAATATTAATTTAAAATGTTAAACTGATTTGTACATAACATTCTAATATTCATTTTGATTTATCTAACAAATACAGTAAACTCCCGATTATCTGGCTAATGGTGGGGAGAGGTGGTACGGATAATCCAAACTATAATTATTTATTTCTAAAATACAACATGTAGATTCGATGTAGATTCACCTTTTTCAAATTTTTCAATTAACGTTAGTTTTTATTTTACGGTAAATACGACTTTCTTTTGATTACTAGGCATTTTAAGGGTACTTATCTGAAAATTAAAAAAAAAAAAAACATCTTATTTTACATAATTTTACACTACAACATGTAGATTCGATGTAGATTCACCTTTTTCAAATTTTTCAATTAACGTTAGTTTTTATTTTACGGTAAATACGACTTTCTTTTGATTACTAGGCATTTTAAGGGTACTTATCTGAAAATTAAAAAAAAAAAAACATCTTATTTTATGTAATTTTACACTAAAAGTATTTGTGGGAGAGTTATTTGAAAAAAATATTATGTATAATATGTGTTATACCTACGTACATATAATCAAATCTTAAATTGTAATACGTATTATAACATGCAACTAAACAAAACTTTGTATAAATGTACTTGCTATCGTTTTCTCCTCTGAAAAGAAACGTCCAGCACAAAAGAAGCGGCCTAACTAAAACCAGTCAAGCTGACCAGATACCCCCACTACCCGCTTCAAACATCTAAATATGAACATGTGTACACTTACAGGATGCATAAACATAAAAGCAAGCAACTATTTAAAAAATACATACACAGATAATTATTTTTTAAAAATTAAATTCATGCACGGATAATCAGGATTTACTGTAAAAATATTATATTGAATAATTCAAACTACCTTTATCATTAGAAAAATAATGGAGAATAATCACATCACATACAGTATATTAATTTGAAAATGTTAGAGTATTCAACATATACATTGTAAGGATAAGCTCGTTACAAAAATTTATTTTTAATTTAATGAAAAAAAATGCATTGGATGCTAATCTGAGAAAAAGCATGTTTGTTTTTGGAATCCAAGAAGAGTATGATGCTANTTTCTTTAATATAACTTATAAGTTCAGGGTGTAAAATGTCAAATTCTAATTTTTTATCTAAACAGGATATTACTGATTTACACTTTTCACATGAAATCTTCTGTAATAATTTATGAACAGCATAACCAGCAATAAAAACTAAAATTTTAACAGTAGACAAAGTTATCATTTCACATTCAATTGGAACATCATCAAAACATTCAAAACAAATATCCATCTTGATTTAAAGGAATCTTGCATACAATTTTCTACTTGATGACATCAAATCTTTAATATGGAAATTCCCTATTTTCTCAGATTTCAATTTCAGTAAACTTAAAATTTTTAATTTTTTTTTCACATTCTAAAACCTGCACAACACTAACATGATAATTACTACCACACATTTGGCGATATTGTCCAAACCTAGCTTCAAGATTATCTGTTTGAAACTTTCCCAAAAGTACAAACTTCAATGAAAATTTTTCAAACAAATATTCAATAAGATGAATCGTAGCATAAGTTGTATGTTTTAAAGCGAAATGTGTTTCATCTGACAATCTTCCATACTGTTGTTTCGAGTTAAATTTCTCCCATGCATCCAAAAATTCTATAAAACAATTCAGAAATTTAATTTGCTCATCATTTTTAGTATATATTTATCTGCAGTAAATATCTCTTAATCGTTTCCTCTTTTCTGGATGTTTTACATTCATTACATTCCAGCATATTGCAATTCTTTCAATAAAATCTTTTGTCTGGATATAATCTGCATTTTGTGCAAATTCCTGCAGAGCTGCAGCTACTTTTTTATCAAAAAGTTTTACTGCATATGAAACATTTTGCCTTTCCAATGATGAAGGATATAATACCTTTAAAGACAAAGATGGTGCAAACTTCACAATTTTGCCTTCTTCTGCTCTTAATATCTCTTTTAGATGAAACAAACTAGCAATGCATTTTGCTTCCTTTTGTATGTCAGGATAAAAAAATGTCTGGTTAGTATGGTGTTGATTCAGCCAATTGTTTCAAATTGATTTTAATAAGTGCACAGAATCAAATAGTAAAAAAATCAATTCCTCTGAGAATGGATTCTTCACAGATACTTTTAATTCACCACCACAAAAAAGAGTAAACATTTTACTCTTTTTTGAGATTTATTCTGTTGTTATCGGCAATCATGGAAACAACTTGATAACCAATGCTTGCTACAACTTTCAACACTTGTTTTGTTAATTCCAACAACTGCTCAGCTTTAAGACTGCAAACTGGATATAATGCAATAATATCTTTTTCTTTAGAAAATAATGATGCCACTAGAAATGCCAAAACACATTTAGCTTCTGACATTTTTTCATTTATTGCTAATCCATAAATTCTACCACCTTTGTATAATGACATGGGTTTTACATGTATTTCATCTAATTGTAGTATAACTATTTTATCTTTTGAGTTAAGGCATTGAAATTTTTCTTTAAGATATGTAATATGTTCTGTATTTGGATCAATATCATTAGTAATGCAACTAGTAAAACTCCTCAAATAGGATGTATGTGGTAATGTCAAAACATTACTATTTTTAATGAGCCTATATGCAGTTGGAGAATGAAAAAATAACATGGAAGTCCATATTAAAGTCTCAGAACTGTATCTCGGTTGTTTCAAACTAAATAAATTTATCTGTTCACAGAGAAATGACAATTTTGTATTTGAAAATTCAAAAGAATCTTCACTCTCGGTGCTTAAACATTCTAAGATTATTTGTGCAGCTTGATGCAGTTTATCTTTCATTCTTACTTCTGTTTGTTATATCCTTGTAAATGACTCAATAATGCCTCAAATTTAGTCCATTGATCACACTTTTTTTCTGATCCTAACAGCCATTTAAAGTTTTTGTTATCCAATTGGGTTCCATTAAAATATTGCATATATCAAAATTTTGAAACAATTTAATAGCATGGGNTTTCAAACAAATATTCAATAAGATGAATCGTAGCATAAGTTGTATGTTTTAAAGCG